CTTTGTCAAGAGCCAGTGGGAAGTACTTGTGTAACATTTGTTTCTGTGCCCTCTGTTCTCTTCGGTTGCTCTGTGTGTCTACTTTTGTGCAAGCACCACACTGATTTTGTTACTATCATGTATTAGTCAGGATTTTCTAAAGGCACAGAATCAACAGAAAAATGTTTGTATAATTGTGCCTAGGGATTTATTAGGCAGAGTCCGCATGGCATTCTGCATGATCAAAGCAGAAGGATCTGCAGTGGCCACCGGTGTGCTGAAAAGCCAGATGACCCAGCCACTGTTAGGTTAAGAGTAGAAAGAAAAATGGTGGAAGGAGCAGAAAAATAAAAGGAGGAAGAAAATACAATACACAAGGAAAAATGGACAATAAGAGGAAAGACAAAAATAAGATAAAATTCAATTAAAGAATGAAAAAGAAAATAAAATTAAGTAATTGTAATAGGAAAAAAAACAACAAAGGAGAAATAGGAAAAGAAAGAAAAAGATAAAAGGATAAAATGCAAAATAGAATAAACAAAAAAGGAAAAAAAACCTTAAAAAATAAAGAAAAAGAAAAATGAGTCAGAAAACAAAAATCCTCCCTGTGGAAGTGTTTGGCCGAGTAAAGTTTCTCTCTTCAGGGCTTCTAGTATTTGAAATCAGCCAGACGTGAGGAGGGATAGGTCACACCCGTGCTCTGTGTTTTCCCCGCCACTTAAAAGGCTGTTGCTGGATGAATGCCGAGCCCTGACCTGCCCTTTTTCCTGAACTGGGGATCTGGGCAGCGCTACGTCCTCTGCCTGGGGCTGTGTTCCCTCCAGAGGCTTTTGGGTTTGTGTGTCCTTGTGCACCCAAGCCACTGCTATCCTCGCCTGGCTTTAAGGCTCGTGGGCTGGTTAGATGCCCTGCCTGCTCCAGAGGGCCCCTGACTATGTACCCCAAAGGTGTAGAGATTGACCGAGCAGAGCCATGTCCCAGACACACTGGCAGACGGAGCAAACAAACAGGCTGGTGATTTCTTTGCTGGAAGGGAGCAGCGTAGGGCAATTAGTGAGGCTCAGTCCCAGGACATCAGACCCAGAGCCCTCAGGAAACCACATGTGGCAGGCCTGGCTCCTCACCACTGCGTGCAGCGCCACCGGCCACTGTGCCCACCATGCCCACCGCAGCTCCCTGCTGCTGCGGAAGCTTCTCTTGAGACCCCTGCCCCTAGCACTCCCTTTGTCCGCCCCTGTCAGTTGTGGCTACATTGACCTGAATTGCTTCTGCAGATCATCCCGAGGACCTTGCCCAGTGGTTGTTCTGTGGCCTCTGATTCCTGCAGCAGCCCAGTCCCAGACAATAACTCCCTTCCAAGATGGCTCCTGGCTAGACCTCTGTGAGCTGTGGTGAACACTGTTGTGGAGTTCTACAAAGCTGGCCTCCCATGTGGGAGTGCAGCCCCGCGCTGGACTGACATCATGCAGCGTCCTGGGCTTGTCCTGGGGCAGGGCTGCCAGGCCAGTACTTACCACTGAGCCTGCCTTGTGTTTGCAGTCACGTCCCCTCCCACACCCACAGACGGGCACTGAGGACTTTTTCGTTCTTTATCCCTGGATCTTCCACTTGATTGCCGAGTCACATTCCATTATACAGGTGTGCTGCAGTTTTTTGTTCATCACTCGAAGAACTGGTTGTTTCCACTTTTGTGTAATCATGAATACCACTTCTGTAAACATTCACAGGAACCTGAGGTTTGATTTTTCATGGGTAAATACCCAGATCAAATATGAGGATATATTTATAAGAAGCCCTCTGTTTCTAAATCAGCGGTGCTGTTTTACATCCCCACAAGCCAAATATGAGAGTTATGTTGCTTCACATCCTCATCAACGCTTCTTATTAGCATGGTGTTTTTATTGTGAGTGTGTGTGTTGTGTGCCTGTCTAGCCCGCCTGATAAAGATGCAGTAGCATTTCACTGTGGGTTTAGTTTGCATTTTTCTAGTGACTAATTATGCTGATGCCACTCTACTTAGTGGGGAAAATGCCCCTTTCCAAGCAGGCTCAGTGCTCTGGTCTCTACCTGGCTTGCTGTAGTTTTCCATCCTCTCCGTTGCCTAGTAGCTGCCTTCCGCCCTCTGCTTTACTATGACTTTCAGTGACCCTTCTTGGCCAGGTGGACAGCTGCTGATCAACCCCACAGGGACTTGCCCCAGAACTGACCTTCACAGGCCCCAACTCTGGGGGTGGCCTGGGGCAGAGCATGGTAATTGCTTTTCTCAGCAGAGCCGCGGCTTCTTTATCCTAAGGTCCCAGGGACAGGAACAGCAGATGACAATGCCACCTGGACACAGCTCTGTGCCAAGGGGCCCCGCTGCCATTTTCCCTCTGCACCTCAAACCCGACCCCAGAGGGAAGGAGGCCTCGCAGGTTTAGCACCTTGCACTCTGCTTTACATGTACCACCCCAAGCTAGTACCCCTCTTCATGGGCTACTGGAACCATCTCCTCAGCCTCACTTCTAATTTCAGACAGTGGAAGAAAAACTGCTTAGAGTTATTAGATACTAAGTACCTCTGTGGATAAAGACAAGTAAAAACATGCACCTCTTCTCCAATTCCTTCACTTTGCATGCTATGAGGCCAAGCTGCACTCCAGGACACCTTTGTCCCACAGCTGTATGTGTGCACACATGTGTCACATACATGCACACCGTATACATATTACCTTGCAACATACATGTATTTCTGACTTGGTTGGCGGTCAAAAAGTGAAAGCTGTCAGCCTGGAATACACAAAGAGCCAAATGCCCTTTAAACTTAGGGTCCAGGGCTGGGGATATAGCTCAGCAGTTAGGTGGCCTGCCTCGCAAGCGCAAGGACCCGAGTTTGATCCCCGGTACCAAAAAAAAAAACCAATAAACTTAGGGTCCATTTATGTGGAACATGGAGCCAAGAAGCAATTCAGTCATAAACTAAGAGTTCAAACTGTGCACATGCAAATAGAAAGTGTCTTGGTCCTCTCGGACAGGAGGGACATCACTGGGCCATTATGTATAATCGCAAGGAAATGCCTTTGCAACTGCATGGGACTCCAAGAACATCCCTCTTGTTTGTATCTTTCCAGCCCCCGTCCTCCTGATTTTACCTGGAGAATTTTCCCACAGGGCACAGAGAATGCCCATTTGATTGATGGAGCGCTCAGTGAGAAAATGTGATAATGACCATCCCATTTCTCCATTTCTATACGTGCTTATCAGAAACCACACACTTCTGCCCTTATGAGCCCAGCACAGAAGCAGGGATGGGGAGTCAGGGACCTTGTGGGGACAGTGAGCAGGTCACAGGCCCAGGAGCCTCAGTATAACTTGTACATTTTTTTCTGGAGAGTGCACAGCGAGGCCTTAGGTGAATGTTGGTGTATGTAGGGAGCTGATTTAGGAGTGAGGTTCCTTGTGGTCACCAAAGAGAACAAAAAAGGCTTCTGTCTGGCTGAAGATTCTGGAGGAACTCAGATTTTGTTGCTTTTAAGGAATGTGTGGCAGCCTATTTTAACCTAACCTCTGCACCATGGCAGCTGATGGTTAAAGACGGCGACTCTCTGGGGACCTCAGAGCTCCTAGGTGTAGATGCTGAGATACTGGCTGTCCTGAAATGGTGCTGATAGTAAGCTGTGAGTGCAGGGAAGGTAACAATGGTGACAGCATAACTGGGACAACACTGCCCCTTCCCTGGGAACCTGCTCCTACCCCTCTCATCCAGGTAGGAATCTAATCAGTTTCTTTGTTGGCTGTCTGTCAAATTTCCCTGCAGTATCCTTCCCTGATAATTCTGTTCTCCTCCTGATACTGTCCATTTGCTGGAGATTTTTGTTTCCTAACTGGGAAGACATCGTCCTTCAAGGCCAGTCAGGTTACTACTGCAGAAACAAGCAACCAACCAAAGTTTGCCATGTGGAATAAACAGCAGCAATGACAGCCCTGCCTTCTGTGGAATTCTTTACCTTTTCTCCCACTGCTACTCTTTCAGAACATCAAAGAACCCCAGTAAACCATGAACATGGAAGAATGGGAAATAAATAGAAATCAAACTTTGACATATTACAGAATCATTGAGCAATCTGCCATTCAGCCTTCTGTTTTTAATGTATGTCAATTGCCTTTTGCCTTTGGAACCTGGTTGGATTTCCACGGAGGCTCACAAGTATCTTTCTGTGGTCCAGAACCATTGTCACTCTAAGTTTCTGTTCTCCTTTCCCAGCATGTGCAATAGAAGGAATAAAAACTTGAGTGGAATTTGTACTTAGCCTAGAACCCTTCTGTGGAACAAATCTTGAATCCTCCAGCTACTTGTTCTGTAGCAGTGCTCTTTTGCTTTCACGATATCACAGCCAGGCAAACGCCAGTACATCAGGAACTCTGGCAAGAGCACTCTGCATTATCTCATGGAGCCTTTGCCAATGGACTGGGTAAAAGACAAAAGAAAGGGCTTCTTCCACCAGTTTTAAAATGGTCATTGGCTGAGACCCAGAGCTTGTGAATTGTCCCACATCACACAGTGAGACACTGTGATGGGCACAGGTAGGGAGCGGGCTGCAAGCTGGATCATCTGCCCCAAACTCTATCCTACCACCAAGTTAGGGAACTTGTGTTTCTGTCACGAAGGCTCATCCCTTGATGCCAAGAAGACCTGTCTGCAAGCTCTCTTGAGCTGGAGCACATGTTCTCAAGAAGAGATATGCAGCTGCTTTACTTGTTATCAGAAGGGAATGTTGTTCAAGACAAGGTCCTGAGGAACAAAGTACAGAGACATAAAGTAGGGGAAAGCAGTGGGTAAGGGGGGATGAGGTGGTGTGGGGTACAGAAATGAAAGCGAAATTCTTTCAGTGACCACAGGGCATATGGCATTTCTCACCATGATCTGTTTTTCTGTTGTGTCCCAAATAACATGTAGAACATTCTGGGGCCCTTTCGGGGCATCTCCAAGACCACAGCCATTTCAGCCCAACCTGGTTCTCCATCTCTCACCTTTTTTCCTAGGTAGCAGGTATCAAGGGGATATTCCTGGCAAACAAGAAGGTGGATGACCAGGTGAAGACATACATCACTTACAACAAAGGCAGGGACTGGCGCCTGCTGCAAGCTCCGAATGTGGACCTGAGAGGAAGCCCAGTGCACTGCCTGCTGGTCAGTCACCAGTCTCCTGGGAGGTTTGCAGGGCAGGTTGGCTTCCTGGGGGTGAGATGCCAAGGGCTTTCTCCAAGAGAAGCTGAGAATTTTGTCTAACTCCCAGGGCATCGGTCTGCAGCTCAGACTGCCATGTCAATTGTGTGGAAGGCTTGGTTAAACTGCACAGGCTTTTACCATGTACTTCAGCTCACAGTAAAATAAAGAAGTGTATAAAAGAAGGAACCTATACTTAACAGTCCCAGGCAGGGCTCAAAGAGATGCTAGCATGACAGTTTGAGGAGTGTGTGATGGATGTCAAGGTAAACAAACTTGGTCTTGGAAGCCCAGGAAGCTCAAGCTGGCATGTTTCCGTGGGAGAGTCAATTAATCCATCAGCTTTCTCACATTGTTCTTGCTCTACAGAGTATTGGGGTAGGAACCTCAGAGCATGGGTGTGTAGGTAGGGGAAACATTTAATAGTATCACTGATAACCTTCAGGGTCCTCTTCATGAGGGTCTGTACCAGAAACCATTCTAAAACACCAGAAGTGATTATATCCCTCCAGAGCAAAATGTGACCTTTTGCCATATATCCAAAAATGTTTACCAAACCCATGTCTGTGGTGTTCTAGACACTATTAAATGATAGGGTATAGTGAAGACTAGGACCAACAGCGCCCTTACTCTTTTTGTAGTTTTTCACTAAGCTCATGGTTTTGTTTTGTTTGCTTGGTTTTTTGTGTGTTTCCTTCACTTTGTTTTGGGTACTAAGAAGATCCAAGACAGATGGCTGCCTACCCCTAAAAACATGTCAAAGCATACTTTTGCTCAAATCTTAGCCATGGTTTAATCTTATTTTCTTAACCCAATTTTCTCTTTGCACATTTATATCTTCTCATTTTAATTTTTTGTATAGGATGTATCTCTGTAAATCCCCAAACCCTTTAAAAATGCCCCTATGGGATGCAGAAATAAATAGGGAACATAAACTTAGGTGTTTCAAATAATTGCTTTATATAAAATTCAAGTCAATTTATAAACAGGAGCAAGACACATAAAATAGAAGCAGACATAATCCAGTTGAAAGCAGAAGACTGGAACTGTTTCACTTAGCTTCCCCTCTCACTCCTGGTGGCCCCTTAGAACTCTAAGAAGCAGGGTTTAATGATGGGGATCTGATTTGGGAGGTCATTGTTATCATCTAGGAAGAGGCCAGGGAAGCTTTCTCCAGCCATGAACTGGGTTAGCTACGACCTGGGCCTTGATGGAGGTCGGTGGTAAGGCTGAGGCAGGAGAGCAAGTGACTGGATGAGGTGTGATTAAAAAAAACATTTATTACAGTAAAAGGCACATGGCCATTAATTCCCTGCTACATACTCCCCTTCACTTTAAACACACTTACCCTATCACAGCAGACACTTTCCGAAGTCATTCTAGGAGTTCTCTGGTGAGTGTGTATTTGCACTGTCATGGCTGCTGCAATGTCTTGAGTCAAAACATTTGCCATTTGTAGTCACTCTGGCTTTGGGGATGAGCCAGAAGTCATGTGACGCCAGATTTGCGAATAAGGTGGATGTGGACACACCATGATGATTTTACAAGCCTTCCTTCTGTGTTGGATAGCACTGGGCTACAGCATTTGGCATACTTTTGATCACACCCCATAAAGACACTTACGTGGGAGGACCTCCCGAACTGCTCCAAGATGCAGGAAGGATGGGATACGTGTGTTTGGCATGGGGGGCAGTATTTTGAGGGGGATTGATGGCAATGTATCTTGTACTATGATTTTAAAAAATTAAACATTCACCACATATTTTAATCACTGCCTGTATGTAGGAATAAGGGCAGGGAAGGACTGTGGCAGATAGGCAACTTCTAAAGAGAAATATTGGCTTCATCAGATGGAGAGAGCAGTCTATGGCTCTTTATTCAGTTCCTTGCTGTTTCTGGGAGCTGAAGGTCTGGAAGCTTCTTCTGGTGGCACTGTGGTAAGTGAAGGTCAGGAGTTTCCTAGAATGAAGTGATTTTTCTCTTCCTTTCAGCCCTTCTGCTCCTTACACCTGCACTTGCAGCTTTCTGAAAACCCATATTCTTCAGGAAGGATCTCCAGCAAAGAGTCAGCCCCGGGACTTGTGGTGGCCACAGGTACGGAAAACATTCCTGGGAGTCTTCTTCCCTGAGGGTGTCCAGAATAGTTTGTCTCTTACTTTTGGACCATGGGTTCATTTGATCATTCAGCGAAAGCTATGGGAGCTCTCCCCAGAAAATATGCAGGGTTTTGGGTCCTCTGAGTCCATCACAAGGATGTCAGATGCAAAACACTCTGGGCAACCATAATTTCCAGGGTAATGTGTCCTCACACTGCCCCAGCCTCAAAGACATAGGGTGACTCCCTGAGCTTCGCAAGAGGCCAGAGTCTCTGCCAAAGTAAACAGGTATGATTATTTGTAATAGAGACTTCTCACTTTAAGAAGCACAATGTATGAGGTCTCCCACTCTCCAAACAGAAGTTGGGGCAGTTTTCTCTTTGCACAGAAGACACTGTGCCAAAGCGTTTCACCCGGAGCTGTTTTTAATCAGGAGGTCTCTGGTGCATGTAAAAGTTTGTTTACGCATGATTAAGCCCTTGGCTGCAGGCCCAGGGGAAAGGGCAGAAAGACTTGAGGTTGCATTGTTGGAGTCCCTGTCCACTGAGCATCCATCAAAAATGAAGATAAAGCAACTCTGAGATGAAATGCGAGTCTCTTGGGGATTGTGCTCTGATTAGCATGCATTTGATTTGCATACACCTTTTCAGGAATACATTGCCAGCATAACACAAATCAGGCTTCTAATCTTAGCAGTTGGGGCTCTGGTGTGAGGCATCTTTTTTTTTTCCTAATGAAAGCAGATAAATCACAGTGACTTTTTGAGGAGGTGCATTCTGTTTTCTCTGGTCAACCCAAAGCTTTGGCCTCTGGATGTCCTGCTCTCCTTGCCATGGCTTCCTTCTCCAAGCTTCTGACTGAGGAAACTTTCCCAAAGCACTAGTGACCAGCCACTGTCACCAGACTGACAGCTAGTGTGGCCCACTGGCACCTCAGTTAGCTCTTCTCACATGAGTATGGATGAGTAATCCATCACGAGTAACACAGTTGGCCCTGGATTCCTGGACGGAGAGATGGGACACAGGCTCTTTGCTCTATTCCCGGCTCGGGGGGTGGTTGCTACACTCTGCTGTCGGTGTGACTTGGTCCTCCAGGGCTGCGGGAAACCCAGGGCTGGCATAGAAGCAGCAGTGGTAAAGAGTGATCAGCAGTGAAGGTTAATATGGTCTGAATGCTTGCTACATAGCCAGGCATTGTTCATTATGGTTTAACCACCCTGTACCTCAGCATTTTCATCTGCAAAGTGGGAATGATAGTACTAACATAATAAAATCCCGGGATTAAATGGGGTAATGGATTTCAAATGCTTAGAACGGCGCTCAGGACATGCAACCTGTCACCATTAATATCGCAGAAGTTAGCTCTGTTCTTCTCGTGTTAGAAGAATACAGTTTGTTCACCTCCTTCAGTAGAACGCATGCGTCACAGGCACATCGTGAAACCCAGGAACCCCGGCATTCTGCCTGAATTCTGCCTTCCAAGCTGTGCTTTGATGCACCCTGGGCTTGTGAATATTTTTTAGTTTTGGGCTTTGTTTTCCTCATCTGTAAAATGAGGATGTTTTCCACCTCGCCAAGATGCTGTAAGAATTAGAGATGGAAGTGAGCCTAGGAGACTGGACATAGCGCGGAGCTTAGAGAGCTGGGATTAGCAGCTGTTGTTGCTACCTACAAAGTACATCTGTCGCTAAATTAGTTTTGTTAAGTCTTTTATGCCATGTAGACATTACAGAGTTGCTTCTCAAGTTTTTCATCCACCTCTGTCAAAACTGACCGATTCCTTTTTCCCTCCCCCATGCAACTCCCGATGCTCCTTACCAGGACACGGGGAGGATGTAACACAGCTGATGAGATCCCGGGACCTCTTTGCGCTCACTTTTCCTGGCTTGTCTGGTCTCCTGGAGTTGATCCGCCATTAGCAAAGTGATTATGAAGTCATCAAGTGTGCCTTGGGTGTCCCACAGGCAGTTCTCCCTGGGGAGCTTTCCTGTACCCGTGCCCTGCTGCCCCCAGGACCTGTAGGCTCTCTGCCTCCCACGCTCCCTCTTCCCATCTTGCCTTGAGAAGTGTTCTCAAGGTGAATGTGTGCTCCGGGATTCCTTCCTAGGTCCTGTTGAGGACACCTCAGAAAGCAGCCTGAATTCTCATCTGGAGAGTCTGGAAATTGATTTTTAGCAAGTAGAGCCACTGGGGCTCTTGATTGCCCAAACCCTGGTTTCCAGCTGGTGGTGAAGCCCTCCCATCCTCAGAGTGCTTTACCCTGTGCAGAGCGCCCTGCTCTGATAGCGACCCTGTGAGGTAGCAAGGGCAAGCTGAAGCCTCTTTAATTCAGAGATGAGGGGTGATGGGGACAGTTGTCCTGCCCAAGCCCATGCCCCTCACACCAGCAGAGTGCCCTGCCTGTAAGTCAGGTTAGCCCCGCCCCACAGCCCTTCCCATGCCAGCAAGCAGTAGCTGACACATCCTGCCCCGCTTCCTGTGACCCCCAGGACCTTGCGCGCCCTCCCTTCATGGTCCTCTCCCCTGGGGCTGAATGTGCCCGAAGGTCCTTTCTCCGCCCTGCCCTTCACCCCCTGCACAAGCAGCTTCTTTTTCCAACACCAGTGGAAATGAGGATAGGCCTCCGCCATTGCCTTTCTCTTTTTCACAAGTGTGTTAGGAGCAGAGAAGTGTAGCGGTAGTGTTCAAAAGAGATGGGACAAAAGTAAGTTGTTTAAAACTGCCGCAAAGGACACCTCTGTTACCGACCAACTGGCTGTCCTGCTCCCTGCTCCCTGCTCCCTGCCTTCCTGCCGTTCATAGCTCTTTCCTCTCTCCTGCCAGACCTCACAAGCGGCTACAGGTGCACCTCTTCCTTGTAGTCTCACTTTACCAGTGAGGTTCCCGACTCACACCTTCCTTCTCTGCACCATGCAAGCTGTTCCTACCAGATTGGCCCAGGGCCACTCAGGGACTGAGCCTGTTCAAAGATCACACCCATCCTGGGTCCATCTTTTCCGTTGTTTCTTCTGTTCCTTCATCTGGGAACCGATTCTGGTCTCAAGATCTGGATCAGTAGAGTAGCTTTCAGGGTGCCATTCGGTTGACAAAAAAGATTTCCAAACACAGGCACCCCAAGCCTTCTAGGCCAGCCTGTCAGTCTTTGAAAGAGAGCCTGGAAGTAACAGCAGAAGTGACTTGGGGCAGCATAGCCCCTAGGGAGCCCCGCCAGCAGCAACTCTAGGGTGCCCCCGCTTTGCCACACCACCTGCCCTCACAGCTCCTGGTTGGCACTGCAGGGGTCATCGCACCCTGTCGTGCAGAAACTGCACAAGGCTTCCAGTGCACCTGCACACAGTGCTCCCACGGCCACCTCCCCCAAACCGAGTTGACATTCTCTGCTCCATCCTCTTTACCTCTGTCTTATAAAACCGGTAGCTGGGGGGTTGAATTCCAAATTCCAGGCAGAGCTCCGAAGAGCCGCTCTGCAGGCCTCTTCATGCTCCTCCCCTACCTGCTGCCTGAGCCCAGAGCCCTGGCGTTATTTTTGGAAGCCTGAGTGTCAAAACAAGTTGGCTAGCAGTGTGCGCCCCGGTGCTGATGGGAGCTTGACAAGCTGTAGCCTGGCTTTAATTTCTCATTTTCAAGCAGTAAATGTCAGGCACTCAATTAACATTTCCATTATTGCGTTTTTATTGTGCTCTTATTTAGGCTACAGATGTGTGGGAGCTAACATTCCCTTCCTGTTATTTTTTTAAAAAGAAAAAACAGCAAGCACTTCGTTAAAGTCTTGCCCATTTAGGGTGCCTTCCTGGTTGTTAATATGTGCCTTGGGGCGCATCGACGTGGGAACATCATTCAGTCGGGTTTCTCCTCATGCGTTCATCCAGTTTCATGTTAAGCATTATCTACTCGGTTTGGAGCATCGTTCTAGGCTCCGAGACTGGCGCTGTCCACTGAGGACACTAGGACGGGATCCCCAGAGTTGAAAATCTTGACAGATTTTTATTGAGTGAACACGATTTTAAGGTGATGTGGTACGAGGGCGAAAAGGGAGAGCAGAGAGAAAAGAGTGCACAAGGCCCGGAAGCAGTGAACGTGCTTGGTGCCGGCATAGCCTGTGCCCCTCCTGTGCTTGGTGGCCTTGGTATGTGAAGTGTGTTCATCTTACTTTGCTCAATCTGTAATTTAGGTTGCATAGTCTTTGCCTCTGGGCCACTCCACTGCCTGGTGCTCAAGAGATATTCTATCAGACTGAACCACACACACGCGGATGCGCACAGTTTTTCTTTGGCTGAAACTACCTTCTCCATATATATTTACTCCCTCACTCAGGACACCTGTCAGAAGAAATTTATAGTAGTACTGGTACCCAGATGAATAATTCAGGAAATTCATCCAAGTCAATATTCAGTCATTGAGATTAATCATTTAAAGCTGCCTTCTTGTCATACTATTTACTTGCCTTCCCATATCGGGTTTTACTTCCTGCTGGGCTTTTGAAACGTCACCAAGAAAAAGACTGCACAGATCCACTGTAAGCACAGCATCGAATATCTCTGTCTTTGACGGCCTGTCCCCCAGTCGTGAGCAACCTGAGTGGTAAACTGCCTGGCAATTTCAGATGATCTGACTCTATTGCAGGCAACATTGGTGCGGAGCTCTCCTACACTGATATTGGTGTGTTCATCTCCTCCGACGGCGGAAACACGTGGAGACAGGTAACTGGGATGATTCAGGAAGAGGGAAGAGGAGGAGACATTTAGAGTAAGTTCTACCAGTACCTCCCCTCCTCTGGATACTTAAGCTCACTGTGACTTTGTCATTGTAAAAAGTTTGAAGCAGCTACTCAGTTTGATTAATCTGGCTGGATGTTTACAAGGGGAACGGGGCAAGATGGGAAGAATGAAACAGGGAGGAGGAAGACCTGGCGTTCCCAGCTGGTTCATTTCTTCCTTCTGCCTTACATAAATAGCAGCCACTGGATGCTAAATTCTGCACTGGTTGCTGGGAATATAACTGATAAAATGATGTCTTTTATTAATGGGCTAGGGGATCTTGGCAGGCAGGCCTCTTCACCTTTCTGAATGTGTTCCTTTATCCGAGAAGTGAAAAGATTAGAATATTAAATCAGGCAGTCCATGGAAGTTGATGGTTAAGTGTTATGAAGACCCCGCTGTAGGCATAAGACAGCTTAACAGATGCGTGACCATGTCGAGAATTAATTCAGTTCCACAAGCAGCTGTGGTATCTGATAGAACTCAGGGATGATGGAAAGGTTCTGTATCCATGTTGCTGCACAAGCTACCAAGCACGTGATACATGGCTAGTGTGACAGGAAATGAACTTTCTTTTGGCTTCAAGTAATTTAAATTTAAATCATTGCATGTGGCTGCTGTATTAGACAATACCTCTTTATCTGATGTCAGCCAAGTATTGGGCAAAAACCTCAGGTGCTGGAGTTCCTTTACTCAACAGGCTCAAAATTTAATAGAGGAGGCAGGTTCACTAACAGTAGTTCAGGGTGGTTGTATTATTTTCCTGGCATTATGAGTATGGATGTGAAGCAGAAGAATTGATTCTACTGGGGAAGACTTCAGGAGAGGAGGTGCATTTGGTAATTCTTAAAGATGAAAAAGGTTCTGCCCAGAGAAAATGGGAATTCCCCTGAATGTTTTGATGATAAAGGTGAAGTCACCTCTGTAATCTCTTGGACAAGCTCCTGTTTGAATGCTTTAGACTGTCATCCTCATCAGCAGTATCACTGTCACGTCACCCCACGCCCAACACTGTTACCACTACCATGATTGAAAAAATTACCTAACACAGCCGCTGTTCTAAGTACTATAATTCATAGAGTGAAGGATAAGTCAAGTCTCCCATTTACAAGGCCATAATCAGGTGGATGGGGGGGCTGACACATAAATAAGATCATTCCTTCAAAATATGAGATCCTGCTGCAGGTGCAGAGGGAAGGAGGAAGCGGGCCTGCAAATTCATCTGGTGCAAAATTACCAACAGACAAATCATTATCTCTTCACCTCCAGAAATAGCTCACCTGACCAGGTGGCCACTGTACCATCATTTCTTTATGTCATTACTATTTTTATTTTCTTTTCCCTTTTCTCAAATAGCAAGGCTTCCACTTTTCTCTGCTGCACTGGGCAGGGTAAGAGTTATCAGTGCTCAGAATAATAGCCTCAGGAGGGAAATGTGAGGATAATTTCTCCATCCTGGCAAGGGCCAAGGCTCTTCCTGTCCTCATCCTCATCCTCAGGCGTATGTCCTGCACCCCATTAAGTGGTTTAGCATAGAGCCACCCATTAGGCTTTGGAGAGAGAAGCCTAAGTGAATTATTCTTTGTGTGTTAAGACTTCCCATTTATAAATACTCGCTTTTCCTGAAAAGTTAAATGTGAAGGTTGAAAATAATAAGAATTTCAGGGTTCTTTGTTTTCTTCCATAGTTTTCATTGAGGCATATATGCAGGAGGCCCCTTCCTGCCTACTCATTCCCTTTTTAAATTCAGTGACCTCCCTCTACCCCTTTCCAGCCCTTTTCATCCAATCCACCACTCCAACTTTTTCATCTAGACTGCAAGAGCCACCTCATTACAAATCATAACAGGGTTAAGTGCTGGAGGAATTCTTTAAGCCTACTTTCCTCTAAAAGCTCTGAAGTTGAAATTAGTTTTTTGCTGAAGAAATGCTTTTGCTGCTTCATACTGGAGTCATATATGGCATATGCTCTGCATAGGTGTAGGTCTGACATTCTCTTAGTTCAGAGCTTTCTATCATAGCTGGTGCTTAGTAAATGCCTATGAATAGATGGGTGGATGGATCACTGGATAAGTGAAGGGGTGAATGGGTAGATGGGTACATTTTGGACAAATAGTTGAATCCATTATGAATAACTTTACATCCCTGAAAGTGCTGTTGTCTTAGTTACTTTATTCACTGCTGGGACAAAATATATCAGCACCTGAAGAAATTTTGGCACACAGTTTATAGAGGTTTCAGTTCATAGTCAGCTGGCTACAAGGCAGGGCAGTACGACAAAGGGTTCGGGCAGAGGAGAAACAGTCCATGGCATGGCAGCAGGGAAGCAGAGAGAAAAAGAAGAAAGCTGTACTCAGCAAAGTTACAACAAAGCGACCCACTTCCTCTGACCAGGCTTCACCTCCTACTATCACAGTTAGCTATAAACTCATCCTCTGTGGATAATAAGTATTATGTCCCCATGATCCAATCACTACCCAAAATGCCCACCTCTAAGCATGTGTGGATTCAGGGGGCCATCTAGATATAAACCACAACAGCTGTGTTCTAATAAATATGTAGAGTAGGAGTTAACAGGCATGGAAGTCTTCATTCAACTTTGAGGAGAACCTAGGAGGTAGTGGCTTAGCATAAGTACTGTTATCATAGTATCTAGGGAAACTGTCTTTTACCATCCTAGGTAAATTATTGTCAACCCCAGGACACATAGCCCACTTATTAAATAGCAAACATCTGAATAAAGAGGAGGAAGAGAGGGCTGAGTAACTTTCTGAGATGGAAAGATGGGTAAGATTCTTTGAAATCATACTTTTCCTTTGGTTTCCTAGTTAAACACGTATCTTATTGCTTCACCTGGATATGGCACTCTGGTTCATATTACTGGGGCATTGAGCCCTGAAAATACAATTTGAGTGGCTTAAGAGAGTCATGTCTTCTCCGTGAACCCAGTTGGTCATCTGTCACCTATCAAATAGGGATAATATTCACCAAACTGCTGGGGTTGTTGGAAGGCTTAGATTCTAGATGAAACAATGAATGTGAAAGACTGTAAACTGCTAAGCACTGTGCAAATGTAAGGCGCTGCTATGATTGTTGTTGTTATTGTTGCTGTTCCAGATCTTTGACGAAGAGTACAATGTCTGGTTCCTAGACTGGGGTGGTGCCCTCGTGGCCCTGAAACACACTCCTCTGCCAGTAAGGCACTTGTGGTAAGGACAGCTCCCTACCCTACTCATGAGATGCTGCTTGGTGGCAAGTGTTGGGACGGGTGCACGATGTGTTGACCATTTGTACATGTCCTCACCTCTGTGTTCACTAGTCCACCTGCTTAATACTTTGTCTAGTTCATAAGAAACATGTAACTCAGAAGAGAGAGTGTGATGAGTGTGATCAGGTGATAGAAATGCGTGTTCAGATGAGACAGGAAAGACCTACAAGTTCAGATGGTCAAGATAGGAAAACAAACTGTGAGACAGAGATTGCTGAGAAGGAACAATTACGTTCATGTGCCAGGTCATTTGTTCAGTTCTAGATAAGGGAACTTGTGATTTCATCAGTGATGACCATTAATTATCAGATACATTTACCTGAAGATCAGGGGAAATGTCTGGGCTGACACTGTAGCTTTGTATTTGTAGCCTAGGTATTAGGAGGTAGTTGAAAACATAGTTGTGGGCTCAGTGCTTCAAGAGAAACTGGGGGCATCTATCAAACTGTTATCATCCGTTTAAAATGGCACAGAAACACAACCATTGTAAATACCTGTGTGAGGCTGCACACCTAGTACCTGGCAGCACCGAGCTGATCTCTGTTATAAGAGCTCCTGTGTTTTAATTACTAATATTCCAGATACTGTAAGGAGCGCTGAAAGGCTTATGACACGTTCCTTGCACTTCAGGAGAGTGTAGTCACAATAAGGAGTTTAGATAGTCCCTCCATTTATCACCAGAAGTCAAATCAGTGTCTTCTGCACAGTGCTGGATGTGTGTATTACTGGACAAGGGTCTGCCTGCAGCACGTGTCCCAAACCCTGATCCCTGAAGAAAGAGTGCCAGGAGTTGCAGGATTGGTGGGAAACAACCGAGAAAAAGACTCCAGCCAAAACCTGAAATTTAGAGAATGTAGGCAGAATGCGTTCAGAAGTCTATATTCTGTTGGAGCCAAAACATGAGTATTTAAGTGTGGGTAGGACTGTGAAGAGCTAAAAATGCCAGTTTAAGGGATTCACATTGAGCTGGTAGGTAATTTCTTCCATTGTCACAGTCCATCTGGCTCTGTGAAAGAAGTGCTGTCTACGGAACACTCTGTGGGTCTTGGAGTGGAAGAGAAAAGAGCTTGTGTCCTAGTTACTGCTCTGATTGTGATACAAAACACTCAATAGCCATAGTTAAAGGAGGGAGGATTTATTTCAGCTCAGTTTGTAGAGGTTTCAGTCTGTAGTTGTCTGGCTCCAGGGGATGAAAGCATAGCAGAGAGGTGTGGCAGAACAGAAACAGTCTATGGTGTGGCCAGCAGAAGGCAGTGAGAAGCAAACGGCAAGCCTGTCTTTCCCTTTTAGCCTATCCAGGATAAAAGTCTTTGGGTAGTGCCACCCACATCCAGGGTAGGGATTGTGCCTTCAGTAAATTCATTCAGCCACACCTAGAACTATGCTTATTCCAATCAGTGGACTAATTCAGTACCACATACCCTTAATCCTAATATAGTACCTTTAATCCACACCCACACACTCTAGATCCAGCCACCTCTGTAAAGCCCCACCTGTGACCCTATGAGCTTTTAGAAGAACAACTAGATACAAACCAGAACTGCTTGTAACACTTTTTTTTTTTTTAACCAGGAAAGACAGTTTTTCTTAGCCCCCATCATTATCTAGAAACCTCCATCTGAAGCTCAAGGAGAAACTTCGTGGACAGATATAGGTAGAGTGATGTTTTCCCCTTTGGTCCTAGAAGTATGTAGCAACCCCACCTTGTACTTGACTACCAACTGAGCTCTCTCCTTGCTTATGGTAAGGATCTAGACCTTGCTTAGTTGTTCATTTTTAGCACTTTGTTCAAGGAAGTTTCCTTGTGAGGAAAGGGTGAATTTGTTGCTATTTCTTTTGGTGTAGAAAGGAGAGTGGATGGAGTGCGTGGTGCTGAGGAACTAAGAGCATTTGGGCTTTGGAGAGTCTCTGCACCCTCCCATCTGGCCATTTGGTCTGACCTGCAGTGGGTTCTCTCCGGAGCCCTGCTTACTTCCAAAGGAACCTTTGTCTGAAGCCACCCACATTGGTAAAATGTTTCAGTATTCACATAGGGATATGTAAGTGTGATATGAATCACACTCTTCAAAGACATCAATGGAAAGTTTGAATTTTCTATTTTTTCCAAGTAATATCTCTTTTCATGCAAAAAACTATGATTAACAATAGTGCATCACCAAATACCTCAAAGAGGCATTGAAGGTGCTCTTCTTAAAGATATGATTCAAGTTGAAGGATGCACTAAATTTCTTGAGTTCATCACCCAGTGTGTACATAAATCAATAGTTTCCCTGGTGTAAATAATCTGCAACAATGCATAAAATTCTAATAAGATTACTGACATTTAGAAATGGGAAGAAAGGAGCTAAAGGTGTAGGGAAGGTGGGATGGGTAGGGGAAGAGTAAAAAGGGAAAAGAAAAAAATGTGAGAGAATGAAAAGATGAAAATAAAGTGTTTGTAGATGGGGAGGGGAGGAGGGGGTGAAGGGAGGGCAGAGGTAAGGGGAAAAAATGAGAATCAAGACTTGTCATGTAGAGGTACAAGATCCCAAAAATGAATGTAACTGTACTGTATCCCTAAAATGTACCAATAAACTCAGTTAAAGCTGAAAAAAAAAACCATCACATTGGACCTTGTAAATTGTACAGTTATGATGTGCCCATCAAAAAGTAATTTAATTTTAAAAATATAAAGATATCTGTAGAACTGACAAAAATTAACCCCCCTCTGAATTTGCTCTCATACTAACAATAATAATCCTGTATTGATTTACCTAGTCCATCTTAAAAAATATTTGATTCTTTCTCGAACTAAGATTCTGAGACAGTATTATCTTCATTGAAAGGAGATTGTCACTGTCATTTGTGGTAAATTACAGACTTGAACAGGGACAGGGATTAATGTTCACTTGCCTCTCTACAGTGCCATTCCTAGGAGCAATCTCTACACATGGTTAAATGCCTGCTATTGAGTATGTGTGTTAGAAACAGCAAGGGATAACTCATTCAGGAATTGTCTTTTGTACTTTGTACTTCTCTTTCAAAGGCTAAGTGAGTGTTTTGTATGGGCTTGACCGTGTCATGATCATTGATGTTTTCTTATGAAATGTTTCACTGATTTTGTCTCCTGCTTATGAGAGGCGAGCTTCTGAAACTCACCATTTCTTTATCACTAGTAGCTTCTAAGTAAGCCACAGCTTTCAAGGTAAACAAATAGCTCATTTTAAGAGGAAGAAAAGTCAAGTAATCAGTTCAGTGTTACTTTCTGTTGTAGATCTCAGAATGTTTTAGTATACATATATTTGTACAGGAAAAAGACACAAGCTTACTCTTTCTCACACAAGGGTATAGTGGCTTTCAGATTTAAATAATGGCTACATTGCATTTCAGAGAAAATAGGAGTCATAATTGAAAAGCTGGGGAAGCCTTAACCAGGTTAACAAGGTGTGCTGTTTCCTGCAAATTGAAATGATAGGTAGCTTGATAGGCATAAAGTCAAAACAGCATACAAATGAACCCATCCACTTGTGACTGTGTCCACCTGGCTAAAACTTAAATGTTACTGCTGGTAAGCCTTTCCTCCAGCATTACCTGTGTACCTTAGAAGCATTAGAGAGGAATGCACAACAGAGCTTCACCAAATACAGTGCTGCAGTGAAAACTCACAGTAGACAGGTGCCTCATCCACAGGTACCCTGGGGTTTGACTGTGTGCTCATCCCTGACAAACTGTCATTGTCTCCTTTCAGTGGGATGACCCTGGAATCAAAGGAAAGCCTCACTGGGCATTTTGTGCTCCTTTGTTCCTTTGTAAATGGTGTGGACCTAGCATTTTGTTTTGTTCCTGAAAAACATTCCTATGAAAACAATACTTTCAACTGATGTGTGTGTCTGAGAAGTGAGAGTGTGTGCTGTTCTGAAGAGCATCCAGGTGGCTAAAATCCTGCCAGTACATGGATTTGTATTATAATAAAAAGGAGCAGTATACTTCAGTGAAGTAAAGGATGTTGGTTCACCATGACCATTCTATTTCCATGCTGGAGACTTTTGGGAAAGATCGGTTGTTCTTCAAATATTCTACTCCTTTTAGTTTCTCTTATCTCAATATCATAAAGCCATAGACTTGGCTAGTTCTCGTGACATTAGCGTATGATTGACAGCGATGCCAGATATCTTTTGGCTTAAGCTTACAATTTCATTAATCTTTCTTTCTTCATATGTGGAGATTTTCGTTTCTATTATGCATTCTCCCTTAAGTTGGCCATACCTTATAAGTGACTTCCAAATCTTCACCCAGATATCATCACAAATCGGGATGCATCCATTCAGAGGTCTCCCAGAGAGTGTGAGGAAACTCTCTTTGTAGTTTACATGGAGAAGTGAAAGTTGTCTTTTAGTCTGGATCGGTTCATACCTCTCCCATTTAAACTGGAAACTGAGTCTGTTATGGCCTGGCCTCTGCCTCCTGTTCTGATTCCATTTCCTTCTGCTCACTTCCATCCCACGAAGCTACAGCTCTGACCCTCTTTCTGTTCTTCCTGTAGAGCAGCTTCATTTCACATTAGCGCTCTCCTCTGCAATTGCTCTCCTCTTGGTCCTTGCCTATGTCATTCCTGATTGTCATTCACATCTCAATTTAAATGTCACACGTCCGGTAGGGCTTTCTTACCTTGCTACTGTGAAGCAGTCACGTGGTCATTAGCAAACCTGTTTAATTTTTCATGGCTCTTATTTCTAATTCTTATCTTTCTATCAGTTTGCAGGTTGTTTGTGTCCTTAACCTAGACTAAGTTCCATAGCCATGAGGGATTCCCCTTTTCGTGTTCTCGCTCTGTCCCTACAACTGGGGCCACTGCTGGCTCTGGCACATAATAGGCACATAACTATTGATCAATGAAGTTCGTTTGCTTTTGATTCTGTATTTCTGTCTAACCACTCTTTGAGGTCATTCAGATATTTACTCCTGTCTCCCTGAGCCTTAGTAATCCCACTGATTTCAGTTTTACTTATGGACCTCACGAGGAATTCCTCGTTCCTCAGTCTTGGACATTAATGAGCTATTGATCGGAGGAGGAGAGTGTGGATCTTTTGAGGATGCCATTCAGTACAGTTATCTCAGAAAGAATTTCCAAGTCCTAGTAATCAAAATGAAAGTTCTCAGAAACACCAGGCCCCCTGTACCCAAATTTCTGAAAACCAAAGAATTAAGATTTCTGTTTCATTTTGGAGTGTCTTGGGGAGTTTTGAGAGCATCAAGGGTTATAAATTACTGACTGGATGAAGTCAGCAGGGCACAGTCCCAGGCTTCAGAGTTGTCCACTGATGAGAGGTGAGGGTCACAGGGTCTGTGCTGTGGGTCCAGAGGCCTGTGTTATTTATGTCACCCTTGCATTTCATCTCCATAAACTGCTTCCTACCTGGACCTCAGCATTTCTCACCTGTTCTTTATCCTTCCTCCTATCCCATTCTCCCCTCTGGGCCACGGTTCGGGCCCTTCCTGATGGACTTATATCAGGCAGTGTGTTCTCAGTCTTCTGCAGTTCCTCTCCCCAGCTGGGCTCATCCTTACCTTGGAGCATTTGTCTTGACACTGGGAGGCAGTGATTGGTCCTCATTGTGTGCCCTATGGTGTTCTCTTCTGATTGTGTAGAGAAGGCTGTCCTGTGCCCCGCTGACACCTACAGGCAGTCAGGCATGGACTCTTGTCTCTGGGATGCCAGCAACCTGGACTGCACCTTGCTGTACTGATGCTCATAACTGATGTTCATAACGCTAACATTGGCAGGAAAGTTCTGAGAAGCAGACAAGGCAGAAGGCGTCAAGCACACGTCGCCTTCTGTCCATCAAGACAAAAATGAATTCATACAAAGTCACCAAAAAGAAAATAAAAACCCTAAGCCTTTATCTCCTGTGCTCACCAGACAAAGCCGGCTAGCTAGTGGCCAGGAATACTCTGGAACAACTCTGATTTCTTTGGGAGCCACTGGGCCACACAGGTAGCAAGGGCAAGTTCATTCTCAATCCTGCCTTCATCTTCACATTTGAAAGGGAAAATCCACATCTATGGGAAGTAGTTCATATCTTCACAGCTTTCTCAGAACTCAATTTAATGATTATTTAGCCTTCAGCTCTTTTATAGAGGTTGCAGTGAGCAAGGCTGTAAAATTCAAAACACATGCTAATAGTTTAGAAACTCTTAAAGACTTTTATGATGGATTGTCTGCTTTTTCATTTACGGGCATGAATCAAGGTAAACCAGAAATACAAAAATTGTCTGAGAGGCTGGTTACTCTAGGTGAATTGAGATTGGCTTTGTTATTGCTTTAAATCTATGAATTAGGAATGAGTGGAAAACACAGAGAAATAGAGAAGCAGGGGAATAGACCGCAGACCCAGCACGGGGTTCGTAACGGGGAGACTTCCACATCCAGTTTATGGATATCAGCGCAGTTACACTGGAAAGAGTGATTGCAAGCATTGAGAGGGTCCTCACCATCCCTCTCTTGCCTCGTGCATTCATCCACTTAGCACTGACACTGTATCAGCTCTGTTCCAGGTGTTCTGCTGCCTACCAGAATATAAAAATGAATGGTACAGTTCTTGAACTCCAAAAGGTCAGTCAGTTTCGTGGCAGTCAGACATAGTTTCCAAAAATATATATGTGCTCCTCTAAAGGAGGAAACATATTAAAGATGCTCATGTGGCGGTAAGGGGTCATTCTATGAATAAGACATTTGGCTCCCAGAAGTCAGAACTTGTAAACCTGAACAGAGGGAAGTCAACAGCAGTTATAACTCATTACTCAGAATGGTGATAGAAAGGAGAGGGAGTCCGAATCCTAAATGGTGGAGTGAGGGAAGAGTTAAGAACCAGACAGACCAAGATGGAGCATAGAAAATGAAGAAGGCAAAGCTGTCAAGGCAGGAGTGTGCCCACAAGCAGCTTCCAGAGGGGTCGGTCTGTGGGCTGTGTCACCTGGCTGAGTCGAAGGACCCAGCGGAACTCAGTACTGTCCGGGAGGGAAAAGCACGTGCCCAGAAATCCTTCAGGACCCTCTGCTCCCAGCAGTCTTTACAGAGGAGTGGGCTCTGCACCCAAGGTAAACCTTCATCTTACTATTGGATGAGCAGAAGATGGAGCAGAGCTGCTTGGGAACATCTAAGCCATCAAATAGCTGTTTCTAAAAGCCCCTTAAATGGCACTGAGGAGGGAAAATCATCCCAAATAAGTAGGAAATTGCTTTTGTTTTTTTTTTTTAAGTTTGATCTGAAAAACAACCCCTTCCTCTAGGGTACACACTGCACTCCTCAATTCGTCTGCGTCAGAAATGCTAAGAGCTGAATCGATTGTGCTGTAGATTGAACCTCAGGTTGAAACGTGATGCTCCATCCGCTCAGCTCTCCTGCCTGGGCTGTTTCTTCCATTCTGATGTGTTGGAATATGCCTGCAGTTCTGGCGCTGTCTCTGTCTGGGCCAGGGGATGCAGTTTTGATCCAATCTCTTAATAATATGGGGAGATGTTGAAGATTAATACCTATTGATATCCAGACTGCCAGAGAGCAAACAACTGAAGAAAATTTAATAAGCTACAGAACAGTTGCCAAACGTGTGGCTTTATTTTCAGCAGACTCTTCCCTGTGCTTGTTTCCACCCCAGGGTGAGTTTTGACGAGGGCCACTCCTGGGACAAGTATGGCTTCACGCCACTTCCTCTGTTCGTGGATGGGGCCCTGGTGGAGGCAGGAGTGGACACCCACATCATGACGTGAGTACCCCTTTTGCTGTGGTATAAGGAGACCACAGACCTCAGTTCTGCTTGAGTGTGGTCCTTAGGCTTCTCCTGGGGTACCCTCCTCCGAAGCATCTTTATCTCTGGGCCAAGGTTTCCTCAGCTGCACAATGGAAGTGTTTATGCTCATATCCTCCAACACAAAACAACATCTGATGGCATGGGAGAGCTCGGCTCCCAGTGGGGCCCTTACGATTTCTTCTGGGGTTTGAAATATGAAGCTATATTCCCATTTGTCCAAAACCCAAGCAAGCAGAAAGGTAAGTCGTGAAATGTTTTTTCTAGAACAATCTAGAAAGAGGCAAAACATAGGGAGAAGGGACTAGAACAGCCAACTTATTGAAATCAGGGACTGCTTTAAGAGAAACTTCCAAAGACTGTGTGTCTCCTACCGGTACATGCACACATGCACACTCGCACACACGCACAGAGTAGTTGTTGCTCCACTTCAGATTAATTTTCTTTGAAGTTTTCTTCGTTTCTTTGAAACAAGTCTAGATGATTGGGATATAAAACTTAAAACTATGAAAAATCTCCCGCTTTCTGAATATTAATGAAAGCAACCACAGTACTAATGTTTACTTGTGGCTATTTTTATAATAGTATATGGAATTTTAGCCCCTTAAAATCTGATCACCTATATGTGTGTGTGCCCTCCTACATGCGGGGTGAGTGGTGACCCTCCACCGGACAGTACCGCCCCCACATACCCACTTCCTGTTGACTGGAGCACCTTAATTCACAGCTGGACAGAATGAAAGGAGCTGGCTGGAAAAGCTCAGGGACATTTGCTCCTTTGTAGGATTGGCTCATGGTTTAGTAAGTGTTCCATTCCCACGAAGCATGTCTGAGACAGTCAACTGAAAAGAGCACAGGTTTCTTTTGGCTTTCGGTTTGCGAGACTGAAGTCCATGGTCAGCTGGCCCAGTGGGTTGGCCTGTGGGAAGGTGGCAGCCGGAATCAAAGAGGAAGAGAAAGAGTTGGGGCCCAGAGTCCCATCCCAAGTCCCCACCCAGTGACCCAGCCTCCTACCACTAGGCTCTGCCTCTTTTGAAGGTTCTACTACCTCCCACGCATGCCAAGCTGAGGACAGCCTTCAATACCTGGACCTTTGTGGACATTCTGTGTCCCGATGGTAGCAGCACGGAGGGCTCAGAGCAGGTATCTGTGTTTGGTGCTCTGTGTAGTCTTCTCTCTCTGAAGGACCCTGCTCAGCTTTGAGCTTTTGTGCGCATATATTTCTATGTACTCAGAATCAGTCTTTCCCTCATAATGATGGATTTTGTGGAGGGACCAATATGGAGGCAAATAGCTAGTTGTCATGCTCTGCCATTTGTTTTTACGGGGTGACCGTATGTGAAGAACCCTTTCCAAATGCGACTGTGCCGTTCTGACCAAATCTCATAGTCTGGCCTCAGACTGCGCCATCCTCATGCATACACAGCAGCCTCACGTCCAGAGGGTTGGCCACTGCTTTGCACTTTCTGAGTGAAAGAAAGAGCACAGTCACAATGGATAATGGAGAAGGTGCAGGGAATGAAGGAAAAACCAAACCAGACAGATTAGCACTGGATCCCGGGCTGGGGTCAGCCGGACCTGAGTTGAGATTCTGTGCTTCTGGACCAGCATTTCTTCATTTGTAAAACATATTTCCTTTACTTTGTACTAATATGTTGGGATTCTGAAAAAACTTTTCCATGTTTATGAAACAAGGCAGAAGCTCTACAAAGTCACTTAGGATGAGTGCCTGAAAAAAAGGTTTTAAACTTCCCCATTCGTTTTCCTGAGTCTTCCCCCTAGCTCCAGAACAGTGAGCTCTCCCTTTGAAAGCCTTGACACTTGCATGTGGGCATCTACTCTGCGGTAGGCACTGGCTGGGACCCCGGCACCCCAATCATAAATTGGAAGACAAGATGTCACACCTTAGGAGGAGAAGCTGCGGTCCACCCAAGATGTAAACTACATCGGTAATGGCTATTTTTAGATTAAAGTTGCCATAATGATGACTTCTTTGAGCCTGTTGCAAAAGGTGAATAAGAATTACTGGTAGAATTTATTGCTCCGGAAGTGAGGCTGTAAACCTGCGTTTTGTCCAGTAATATTTTCCACTCTCTCGATGTACCCCCAAGACACAATCATCACACTATATAAACTTCAGGTTAAAATTTCCATCATATCAAAATAAGCTCCATTGTTAATCTGTCATAATATTTTGTTCATTTGAAGTTAACAGCATTGCAGGCAAGTTTACCTGCACAAACCATCGAGTATTTAAGATATAGAGTATTATTAAGACAGGTTCTAAAGCTTCATCATTTGGTAAATATACAGCAACAATATGCAGCATTATAAGAATCTCAGATGTTCAAAGGCTATATCCTATCAAATTTTATTTCCGAAACACAATTAACTTGGTAAAGATATGGAGATATATATATATTACTCATCCCTTTTGTTCTCCTCTCATCTCATAGACTGATTCATCACACATTCTCTTGCATGGAGCTTATGGGCATGCACCGTTTGCTTCTACTGCACCTTACTTTGTACAGCACCCCATGCACACCAGTCTCCACATGGCCTGCTATTCCCTAGCAACTTGTAGGCCATGGTTTAAATTCTGTGTTCATCGGATCTTAATGGTAATATTTGTTCTCTGCTTCAAATGGAGTTCATCTGGCCACATGGGTACAAGGGAGGCCAAACCTTTTACCAAGGAGATGAGATAGCACCGCAGTTCCCTTTCCTCCCCACCAGGATGCGTGGAGCTTGGCAGAGCACCTGCGCATCTCGTGTCCGGTTGTCAAGATGCACTGAAGGGCACAGTCCATCTCTGTAAGGGGTCAGTGTGGGGAGGAGATACGTCTTCCTCGCTGTTGGAAGCATTCATCAGAAAAACTATAAACAATTTACGTTACCTATTTTTAGCACTTTATTAAATGAGAGTTTCCCTTGTGTGAAAACAGTGCAGGTTTTGTGGGGATTCTTCAGACAGCTAAAGGGATGAGCCCTGGAGGAACCCATTTCTGTTCTAAATTTGGAAGGAATTGAAGCCCCGGTGGACTACTAGGGATGAGCAGAATTTTTCCTCTTGGGGTGGCAGCAGCAAGGACGGTAGCAGTAGTTAAAAATTGTGTATATTCCCTAGGAATGATAAGAGCAGCAAGTTCATTTGAGGACAAGGATGCTTGGCTTTGCCATTGAACTGAAAACTTCTTAATGAAATAGACTTTGGGATTCTGAAAACTTACTGTGAACTTAAATTCTCTCTTTAGCTTAACTGTGGCCAGGGAGAAAAGGGCCACAGTAAAGTCCTATTGCTTTTTTTATGTCACTTTAATTTGGAGAACCTATATATTCACTTTTTCACTCATTTTTATGCTGGGCAGGAAACAGAGACAAGAAGATCACAAGTTCAAGGCCAACCTGGGCAACTTAAGGAGACTGTTTCAAAACAAAAAAGTAAAAAGAGCTGGAGATGTAACTTAGTGGTGAGCACTTGCCTACCATACATGAGACCCTGGGATCAATCCCTAGTACCACAACACACACACAAACACACACACACGAATTAAATGAGCTTCTAATATGTACCAGACCCTATTAGAAGTATTAAAATCTGAATATAATTATTTCCCTTTATGGAGCTGTATTAGTCATATCTCTTATTGATGGGACAAAATACCTGTCTTATACAATTGAAAGGAAGAAATGGTATATTTGTCCCAAGGTTTCAAAGGTTTCATTACATGATTGGCTGGCTTGAAAGCAGAAACATTTTGGCAGAGGATGTGGTGAAGCAAAACTGCTCACTTCCTGGCAGCCAGGAAGTAAAGGACAAAGGACTAGCACCAGTGGGAGACACATTCTCCAAAGTGACCCACCTCCCAGGGACCCACCTCCTCCAACTGGGCACTGCCTCCTAAGGACACACCCAGCTCTGATCATCACCTATGAACTTCAGCACCCCTGGGATCTACCAGCTTTCCAGGAGTCTTTTATTCTATCTAGGCAAGTTAACAGTAAAGATTAATGGGCTCAAGTCCACTATTGTCATCTTGACAGCTGATCATAACTCCTTCAACCACACAATATCCAGATGCAGATGCAAGGTCGGAATTCTGCCTAACATGATGCTTACTGTCTTGCATATAAACAAATAACTCCTTGCCCAACCTCTCTTCAGTTCCGGCATTGCCCAGAATTTCAAGTCCAAATTTTCCTCTGAGACTCAAGCTCTTAACTGTGATTTTTGTAGAAATTCAAATCAAGTTAAATATTCATGAAGTACAATGGCATAGGGTAAATATTCCTATTCCAAAAGGAAGAACAGGAAGATAGAAAAAGCAAAGCAAGTTGAAACCCAGCAGGGGAAGCATTACACCTGGTAGCTCCAGGTCAAGCACCTGGGGTGCTTAGTGGCGCGATGTGAGTTCCAAAGGGCTCAGACAGACCCAGCCCTGTGGCTTTGCCCTTTCTGGCTTTGTGCGCTGCTAGCAGATTTTCCACAGCCCTAGAGCTTCATTCCTTTAGGTTCACATAACTCCCCAGTGGGGGCACACTGCCTGATCTTCCTTGGAAATCTAGCTGGAAGCCCCCACTACCCCACAACTCGTGCATTTTGTGTGTCTATAGTCAGCATTACATGGAGGATACTAAGGTCTGCCCTCAGCTCAAACAGTACCCAGAGCTTGAACCTTGCCTGTACTGAACCTCTGAGTAGCTGGATGGCTGAGCACAGTAAAACAAATCTTCAGAAACCAGTTAGTTCCCTAGCTAGACCTTTTCAGGTGCCAGGGCTCTTGTCTCAAAGGGGTATGGTCTTGCTGTTTCTTGAGGTGTCTTAAAAACATCTTCTTGTCTCAGTTCAAAGTACTTGGCTTCAGCCACCACATCTCTTTTGGCCCCAACGTTACATGTACTGCTTTTTAGGCTAACATTTACATTTTTCAAATCTTTCTGCTAAGCTTTTTTGC